TCCCTGCTCAGCAGGGAGTCTGCTTCTCCCGCTCCCGCTCCCCCCTCTTGTGCTCTGTCTCTAAAATAAATAAATAAAATCTTTAAAAAAAAAAATATGTATATGTCTGCAGACATAGGAAAGATTGGAAGGAGCTACAACTCTACAGTGTTATGACACATTTCTGATTAATGGAATTACAATGATTTTCATTTTCTCCTTTCTACTTTTTTGTACTCACTGAATGTTTGTTGTAGTTAACCATCTTTTAAAAGCTTTTATAACCCCCCCCCCAAATTAAGGTATTTTTCATTTTGGAAATATCGAGGAAAAATAAAAGACTGAAATTCACAAAAGATGAAGAATCACAACCAAAGAAAAATCACAATTCTGTGTGGAAATAGATCTCTCGTCGCCCAAGTGTAAAGCCTGTGACGTAGTCTTCCCAGACGTGTCAGCAACCCAACGCTGACAGCCTTGCATACTCCACGGTAGTATTTCACTCCACCCCGGGGTTCCAATTTTTCACTCTGGTATCAAAACGGTCACTTCTAAAGAAGATAGGAATAATCATTCATTAGCTTTAAAAAAAAAAAAAAGGATTTTAAACATGCCCTGGCCTTCCTTCCTCCATTCCTTTTTCTTCACACAGTCAGAGCTTTGCAGGATAGATAGCTCCTAGCCTAATATTCTCCATTTCCTTATTTAAAGATTAGGCCAGCTAGATACTTTTTTTTTTTATATAACAGCCTATGATGAGGACATAATTAGATAGCTGGAGATGCAGTGTTTATTCTACCATTTCCTCTGTTGATCACTTATGATTTCCAACTGTCTTGTTTCAGTGTGTGAATGCTAGTCTTGGGGCAAACATTCCTGAATTTAAGAGGTAGGTTTGACCCCAAAATGCCAGCAGCACCCAGTACATCTGGGACATTTGCAATGCCTCTTGTCAGATGCAGTAATCGCAAGATGCAATGAGATCAAACAGAGAAGATAAAATACAGGATAGATTCCCTAAGAGAAAGAACAAATACTCCCTCCTTCTGCTCTTCTCGATAAAAGCCCTATTTGTTATAGGATGTTGGTAGGGAGAACCAAAGATGACTGACTGCTGTCTCCAACTGGGTTACTTGGGAGAGTAACAGCACTGTGCACTCAGAGGAGGGGACACTGGTGGTGGAGCAGGGTTGGGGGAGGTGAGTGAGGATGATGAGCTTGGTTTGGGACATGCTGATATTGAGATTTCTGTGGGATATCTATGTGGAGATATCTGGAAGGCAGCTGGATATGTGGTCTGTAGCCCCAGATAATGTCTGGGAGGCATAAGAATGCAGTAGAAACAAATCTGTGAGGCTGGTTGAGACCACAACCACATAGAATGAGAAGAGAACAGGACCTTGAGAGGGGGTCCAAGGAACCCCAACCTTGAAAGGATGAGTGGGAGACAAAGACCCTCCAAAGGAGACAGAAGGAATTGCCAGTGTTCTTAGGCTAATGTGAACATTATTGTCAAAATATCTGCATTTTTCCAAATTGGAACAGTGCAAAAAGAGACACTGAGAAAATTCTGTTAATTTTATCTAAGTGTAGTAAAAATAAATTTCATATTTGAAGACAAGATTTCTGAGGCTTTTTCCTAAATAAATACAAGTACCAATAAACACATGGAAAGTTTTTCAACCTCACTAATGGAAATGCAAGCAAAAAAAAAAAAAAAAAAAAAAACCTTTACACCCTTTGGCCCAGCAATTCTACTTTCTGGATTGACTCATATGTGATTAATTAGATTCATGTAAGGGATTTACATAAACATTTATGTGAAAGGATTTCTTCTGCATTATTTATAAAAGCAATAATTTATTTTACATTTTGAATGTATAATTATATGGGAATAGACTGTGCTAATTCAAGTGATGGAAGAGTATGCAATCACTAAAAATCATGTTTTGAATAATTAATTCTATGAGAAAATGTTCAGTATACAATATTAAGTGAAATATGTACGATAATTCCAATGTATTACAAATATGCACACAAACACAGTAGAAGAAAATAGTCAAAAATAGTAATAGTGGCTACCTGGTGATGACTGAATTACAATTAGCTTTTCACTTCCTTCATTATATGTTTCTATATTTTCTCAATTACCCACAATGCACACTGTAATTTTTATAATTTAAAATAAGAAATGCTCCTGCTATTACATGCTAATAATATTTTCATTACTAAAAGCTCTTCTTTTTATTTCAAAATAGCTCTATAATCCTCAAGGACATTTTTACAGATCCTAACTATGAATTTAAGTTCTAGTTCTTACATAATGTTGTCACTATTTTCTATACTGCTATTTTCTTTCTTTTTTTTTTTTTTAAGATTTTATTTATTTATTTGACAGAGAGAGAGACAGCGAGAGAGGGAGGGAACACAAGCAGGGGGAGTGGGAGAGGGAGAGGCAGGCTTCCCGTGGAGCAGGAAGCCTGATGCGGGGCTCAATCCCAGGACCCTGGGATCATGACCTAAGCCGAAGGCAGACGCTTAACTACTGAGCCACCCAGGCACCCCAATTTTCTATGCTGCTATTTTCAAAACAAAGGGGCAGCAGGGCATAATAGATCAACATTGAAAGCTCCAACTGAATACTGGCACATATGTCAAGTTTAAAGAAATTTAAATTATAGCCCTATAAAGTACGAACTTCAGAGGAAAATGTATAATATTGGTATTGACTGCAATTTGGATCGAAGATAGAAAGAGACATGGAGAAGCCAGCCATTCTAAATAGTTAGAAAGTGACTTCTGATCATTTCCATCAATTATCAGATGAAAGGCAACTTGAATTTCATTATCTGGAAAAAAAAGAAACTTGAAATCCTTTTGAAAAATGTCTTTCCTTTTTGAAAATGTTCTTTGTCATACAATGATCTTATTTATGAAATTTGTGTTCTTAAATCACACGAATTCACAGCAAGTGAATTCACTTGCTGACTGGAACACAGAGAGATTACATGCAGAAGGTTGAGTATAAATATTATTACTTGAAACAAAGAAAGTCAAAGTAATCAATTAACCTTAGATTGTTATAATTAAGAAGTCATTTTGTTGATAAAAAATTATGTAGAATCAAGAAACAGCTGCTAAAACTGATAAATCTTTCTTAATGACCCAATGATTGGTTCAGAGTTTTGCCACAGATGTTTGATAAAAAGCCAAGAAAACTATAGACTTAACTGTTTTATGCAAACATGTATGACTATAAACAAGGTTTCATCAATTTCAATTGCAGATGAATGATAAAAATGAGAAATCTTGTATTTACTAGATTTCTAGTTTATGTTCATTTTTTTTTTTTTTTAAGATTTTATTTACTTATTTGACAGAGAGAGAGACAGCGAGAGAGGGAACACAAGCAAGGGGAGTGGGAGAGGGAGACGCAGGCTCCCGGCTGAGCAGGGAGCCCGATGTGGGGCTCGATCCCAGGACCCTGGGATCATAATCTAAGCCGAAGGCAGACACTCAACGACTGAGCCACCCAGGCGCCCCATGTTCACCTTCAAAAACTCTGTTATTTTATTACTTTTCAGAAAAGGGAAGTCATTAACTGTATGACTAAGACTGATTTAATTTGTATAGCTAGCTTTTAAGACTCTTCCTATAAAGCCATGAGTAAGAAAAAAAATTTCACTGTTAGATCTTGTGTCCCAAATTTTGTTTTTCATAAAATGTAGTCCAAAAGAATGGGTAAAAATTAATTTTACAATAATGAACAGCAAAAGTCAGTAAAGAAAGAAAAAGCAGTTCGATGAATGCTGCTGAGTCTACTGATTAGCTAATTGGGAAAAACAAATTTACATCTCCATCTCATGCCATTCATCAAAGTAAGTTCCAAACAGATCAAAGAGTTAAACGTTTGGGGGAAAAACTTGTAAGAAGAAAAATTTTTATCTGCTCTCTAACTGAAGAAGGATTTAGCTTAAAGACATACATAACCACAAAGGAAAAGATATAGATTGGAACACATATCCCACCTGGTAACTGGCCCAAGAATATGAGCAGAGGATTTACCAAAGAAGAAACAAAAATAAGTATGAAAATATGAAAAATGTTTAACTACCTAATATTCAAAGAAATACAAATTAAAACAAGGTGCTATTTTTTAGCCTCAAACTAGCAAAGATTTTTCAAAATGACAACAATACTATTCTAGTGAAATTTATGTGAGAAAAAAGGAAAACACTTTCATTCCTGCTGATTTAGGGTGTAAACTGGTACCACTCTTTCTAAAAACTCAATTAGCAACAAATAATGAGCCATAAAATGTTCACACCCTTTGATATAGTAATCCATTTCCAGGAATCTTGAGACAATCTAAAATGAGGATAAAAACGTACACACAAAAGTGTTCATTACAGTGTTACGGGACTAGCAAAAACTTTGAGGTAAATTAAATAAACCTGGAAATCAAATAAACTTATATAAATAACTTGAGACTGCTTAATTAAATTATGGTATGCTCACAGGATGGGTAGCATCATATTATTAAAAATTTTCTTCACAGGGTGCCTGGGTGGCTCAGTTGGTTGGGCGACTGCCTTCGGCTCAGGTCATGATCCCAGGGTCCTGGGATCGAGTCCCGCATCGGGCTCCCTGCTCTGCGGGGAGCCTGCTTCTCCCTCTCCCACTCCCCCTGCTTGTGTTCCCTCTCTCGCTGTGTCTCTCTCTGTCAAATAAATAAATAAAATCTTTAAAAAAAAAATTTTCTTCACAAAAAAATTTTAAATTGGTGGTGCCTGGGTGGCTCAGTCAGTTAAGCATCTGCCTTCGGCTCAGGTCATGATCCCGCAGTCCTGGGATCGAGCCCCGTATCGGGCTCCCTGTTCAGCGAGGGGAGTGTGTTTCTCTCTCTCTCTCTCTCCCTCTACCCCTCCCTCTGCTCCTGCTCTCTCTCTCTCTCAAATAAAATCTTTTTTAAAATTTTTAAATTGTATAGAAATGCCTATGATAAGAAGTTACATGACAAAATTCAAAATTAAATCCATGTGGCATGACATTTAAAAGTTTTACAATATACACACCCTCATAAAATTTCTATTAACCTGCTTGTTTTATACTATTGTGAGAAAATGGCTGGACTCTCTGAATTTGAAGGGTGGACCTAAAAGACAGGCTCCGTGCCACACAAATAATTCACTTTGTGGCTGCTGAAGGATTACGCAGTCATTCTCCAGAAAAGATTTGGGCATCAACTGTGATTGAACCATTGCACACTTGAACTATATACAGCTTGGTCAAAGGAAGTAAGAGCAGGAATTTATTTAACAGTCATTACTGATTCCTCTGAGCAACAAAGGACCAGCCAGCAAAATTTATATGTATGAGTACAGATGCAAGTGCCCACACACATTTACTTAAAAAGCTAGAAAGAAATATCCCACAATATTGGCAGTGGTTTTCTGATATTCTAGAACTGTGCAAAGATGGTAGACACTAGACACTCAAATTCCTTCCTCCAGTCAAACTAGTCACGTGGTCCAAGGGCTCAAGAGCCACGTGTAAGTAGTGGCTATCATTTTAGACAGCAGAGACAGAACATTTCTATAGTCCCACAAAGTACCTTTGGACAGCACTATTCTACAAGATTTCTGATGTTCTTCTCCATACTTTTTCCAAATGTGTTACAATATGCTCTGTAGTAGATTCCTCTTATAAACGGGGGCGGGGTGGGAGGGAACACCATGAGAAAAGAAAATGAGGTTAACAGAGCAAACACTCACGCTAGAGGTGCAGAGGACGCATACTCTAGAGAAAACCCCGGGGAAGAATCTGGGGAAAAGCAGGAGGACACAGGCACTGTGGGAAGAACAGGAAGGTCTAGAAAGAGACATGGGAATAATAGGCATTGCAAGGAAAGGAAAGAAAGGACACAGAAATTCCAACAGCAGGGGTGGGGAAGGAGGCAACTATAGCAAGGAGCCACAGGTTCTGGGCTCTCCCCACTCACCAGCCATTACAGCTGCTGACCGCTGAGCTGGCTCAAAAGGACATTTCCCCCGGCCATTCTCAAGTCTTTCAACCTGCTGGAAACTGGACACATCCTACAGACCAGAAGGGGGCAATTGGTTTAGGGTCATGAAGAGGCTCCTGGTGAGAATTACAAAGATGGTCAGATGAAGGAAACGCCCAATTTCCATTCATCTCCCATTCATCCGCTACCATCCCCATAACTCCCAGTCTGCTGTTCCTGATTCCCCCACCTATTCCGGCATTTCCCATCTCTGCCATCCCCCTTTTCATCAGTTTATTCCTCTTTCCTCCATTCCCCTAGTACCAACACCCACATGCCCTGCTGAAGGAAACCCGCAGATGGCCCTAGAAGACACTAAGAGGCCGAGAGGCAGATCTTTCCTCCAAAATGCTAGGGTTTGCAACTGGCTGGGGACTATATGACAGGACAAGGAGGATGAAGGGAAGAGAGGAGGCGTCCTGAGGAAGGGTAAAAAAGAGTGCAGGCGATATAAGATCATCTGAAGCTCAGGGGCTTAGAAAGAGGGGCCGTCCTCCCCCTACTCTTACTCCAAGGATGAAGGACAGGACCAGAGTCAAGGATACATAGAAAGGGGGTAGAGAATCTGCAAAGTTAGCAAAGATCTGAAACTCAGGTCAGAATTTGAGGATTTGGCAAGTAACTGCCTTCTTCATTCAGGGACCACAGCAGGACTGACCTGGAGAGGAGGCGAGAGATGTAGGAGTCCACCAGGGCCAGCCAGAAGTTACCTTACCTAAGCATCCAGCACTAAGACAGCCTTCAAAATAACATCTAAAAATGGAAACCAGGGATGACTTCAACCGGAGACTGGCAGGGAAATTAACTGTGGCTGGTTAGGAATCAAAGTTATGGCATGAAGAGCCAGACACAATACCTCTAGTTCACTAGGGGGGACATATGGTGTTCCTGGAGCCTAATTACACCGATGGTGGTTGCAGTAGCCACACAGATATATATCCCCTGAGTATAGGTATACTATGGGTCCATTCTGACCGCTCATCTATAAACTATAGTCAGGAAATAAGGTTTTGTTTTACCAAGAGAGCCTTGAACAAGGCCTGTTAAGATGTGATCGGAGGTCCCCAAAAAGGAAACACTGGGTTAAGAGAGTCTTCTGGAATGAGGGACCCTACAGGGGCACAAGCATCTCACCTGTGTGGAAGTGGGAGCAGCCTAGCCTGAGAAAAGAGATGGATGACAGTTCAGTGAGAGATGACCAAGATGTCTGGGAACTTTGAACAAAGGTTAATACATGTTGTAGTGGCTCTTCCTACCTCTCACCTGAACTACAGCAGTAACCTCCTCCTCTCCACACTGCCTAGCCTTGCCCCCAATTTGCTCTGCAGATTAATATTCCTACAATATCAGTCACTGCCTTGATAAATTTTTGAGCAAGAGAGTAACAAAATGGCTCACGATTGCCTAGAATACAAACCTGTTAGCCCAAATTACTTCCTTTCTAATACTGCTCAAAATGAACACTTTCTTCCAACCAGACCTGGATGCTTGTTATTCCCAGAAAACAAATCATGCTTTCCCATCCCTGTGCCTAAGACTACTCCCTCAACGTTTCACCAAGGACTCCTTTTCTCAGTGTTCAACCTCCTAATCTTTATGGGGCATCTGATATTTTTGATTCACTCCCTCCTTCAAATATTCTGTCTTGATTCTCTTGGAAGTCTACCATCCTCCCCCTACCTAATTATTGCTTCTCTATCTCCTTTGGTTGCTTCTATTTTCCTTTCTAGCCCCTAACTGTGTTAAGGATCTATCCTTAGTCCTTGTCATATATACTTCAATGATCTCACTCATTCTTACATTTCTAGTTAGACTTCCTATGCAAATTATTCCCCAAATTCTCTGAAAGTCTGATGCCTTCCAATCTCTGGTCTGTGTTTGGACTTGGCTGCTGGACTTCCTCACAGAGATGGCCTATCAGCCCCTTAAAACTCAGTATGCAAAACGAGTCTTCATCCAGTTTCCCCAAATGGCATCACTGTATTATGTAGGTTTATAATTTTTGAGCAAGTGAGGCTCCTATTAACTAGATAGGTTATGATTACTGTTTTGTCGAAATGACATTTAATTAGGGTCTGAAGGGGGTAAGACTAGTCCACTACAGTCTCTGTCTGAATGTTGAGATTCCTCATTGTATCATCAGTTGTGGTGAAGGCAAGTCCCTCCAGCTGAAAGACAGAGAGCTAGGCAGGAAGGCTCTCACTGAGCTGTAGGGTTGGAATCCATCCTTTGGCTTTGGCCAAGAAGAGTACAAGATAGACAAAGGACCTTCCCCAGGTGGTTAGGGGGGAAAAAAAGAAAGATGGTCCCTGTCACATGAAACAGGACAAATGTCACAAGACACTGAAACCAGATATGGTCTTCTGTGCTGCAGGCTGGACTAGAAGATCAGGGTTGTGGGGCAGAACCAGACACAGCTGGATTTAAATCTTGGCTCTACCTCTGCCAGCTACATAATATTGGACATGGTACCTAACTTTCTGGAACTTCCATTCCCTTGCTTGTAAAATGGATATAAATAATACCTAAATATCACAGTGGGGTGCTAAGAACTAAACTCAATCTCGAATGTAAAGTCCCTAGTACCCATGCCTGGGACAGAGTACATCTTCAACTGAATGGGAAGTCTTGTCATTGCTATTGTTAAGTCTAGCATTTTTCTCTGTTAACTGCTAGGACTCCCTCAACAAAGCAAACTAAAATATTTTCCTCCAACGTCCAATGAGCTATCACTGAATGGCAGCACTCCACATTGTCAGAGCTGGTGGGTCCAGTGCTTGAATTGCCTTTTGTAGGAACCTTTGTTTCTCTGAGCAATCAACTCTGAGTGAGTTGCTGTGTCTGGATCAGCTAGTCAAAGCTCTCACATAATAGTTATACATGGTCTCCAAGTCATCAGTCTGGGACATGAGAGGTTCGGCACTAAGGATAAGGCAAGAATTTGCTTAAACAGACAGGAGTTGCTAGGTAGCAGGATCAAACAGTAAAGGCTTGAGAGCACTGAAGAAGTCTAGAGGGCAGTCTTAGTATATGGCCTGAAGAGTTAACACAGCTGATTTTGGGGGCAGGGGGGTGTGCCCTATATTCTCCTACAAACAAGCCTTGACCAAAGGATGGTTCTTCATTTCGTACACCTGCTAGATAGGAGAGTTCAGAGAAGGAGCTAAAAGTCATGGGAGTAAAAAGGCAGACCCCTCGCTTCACTCTGGTTGCTGATTTTTCTCAGGAATGGATAGGAGTCCAATCCTGACAGGATGTACAGAACATTTTGTGTCTGTAGAATATAACAACCATTAGGGTCCCCTCACAGAGCCAAGGAAGAATAGGAGGCTCTAGGAGACTAACTTGAAGTGATCATGTTGTCTATAAGCCATGGCACCAGTATTCATACCCATGGGTTCCCCAAGTGTGTGCAGACTGGAAAAAGACCTATATGGCAATGGTAGTTCTACCACTACTTTCCGAGCTTTGTGAGAACTGTAAGGAAACCAAACCTTCCACATCACCTGATGGCTTATAGAGATTCTCAATGCCACCCTGAAACCTTCCCAAGAAAAGGAAGCTATCCACACCTTGATGGAAAGTCTTTCATCCACATTATGAAAAAGACTCAACAAAAAACCAACCAATCTCAGGGACAGCCCAGAGGGACTGACTAGGACAACAAAGCATATACAATTATAGCATTCAAAGCCAGAGATATGAGCATCATCTTCAACAAGGAGGGGTTCGGACATACACACTGATGAGATCTGGGGGGCAAGCAGTACTCCAGTTTGCAGAAGGTGCAAGTCAAAATCTGTGGTTAAGAATCAGGGCCAGGAAAGGGAGTCATTGCACTCCTCCTATTGCTCCTTGGAGCAGAAAAGGAAGCCACTGAATACAAAGAACATGGGAGGCTTCTGACTCATCCTAGATTCTTGTCACAAGTGTGTGCTGGCAGAGGACCAGTGACTGACTATTGGATAACTGATGGGAAAAGCTGAGAGTTCAAAAACATTAAGACCTTCCTGAGATGCCACCAGTCCCATTAACTCCAGAAGCCATGACTGGCCTAGAGATGATCAGGAGTATACACATCCCAAGCCTGCCTGAGTATGAGGGTGGAGATGCCCAGGGCTCCAGCAGCAATGAACAAGACCTGGAAGAAAAGGTGACTGACAGAGTGCCCACATTGAAGGCAAGATCCAAGTACTATATTAGTGGGCAGTGACCTCAGAAGCCGTGAGAGCAGAGGGTCACAGCTCGCACAGAATGAAGTTGGCGGTGGACATGGAAGAAGGGGGAGAGAGACAGTCACATGCTGTGGGAGGAAGAAGCAGGCATGGATTGTGCTGATTAAGAAATGGACCTAGGCTGCCTAGGCAAAAGCATACACCGAGCAAAGGAAACAGGAATTACTGGCCTCTAAAGTCTCTCCTGGATTTATCCTCTCCCAGGTCTAGCTAGCGTCTCTAACTCCCTTCACCGTCCCTCTTCCCTCTTTACACTCTGTATACCTCACCTTCCACAGACAACCTCCCTCCCCCTCCCTTTCCTACCCCCCCTTCTGTGGCAGACAAAGGCTCCACCCTGTGAGGACATCCCTCACCCCCAATGTGTATCATGCACAAGTGTGGCCTTAAGCATGCCCCCCATCATGGTCACTCACAGAAGACCCTTCCCATCCTCCCACCCATCACTCACAATAACCCCGCACTTCGGATCAAAAGCGAAGGTGCCACAAGTGAGGAGGTGAGAGGCATTGGCAATGGCGAGAATCTGGACAAAATTGTGACATTCGTCCTGGGGGTCAGAGATGGTTAGAGAGAATCAGAAGCAGCAGGTACAAGGAAAGGTAGGGTAGTGTCAGGACAGTTAGACGCAGCTCTGGGATCAGAGATGATAGGTAATGACATGGTGTTAAGAGTCCCTGCCTGGGCCCACTGGGATGGGAGCACTGCAGGGGACAGACATAGAGTCAGGGCTGGAACTAGGTCTCAACTGACACTCAGGATAGGGACAAGATTCACACCTACCTCCTTCTTGCCTTTCTTCCTACAGTTCTGTCTGTGGGCCTCAGGTACCATCCAGTCAATCTGAGAAAGGAGGAATAATTGTTTCTCCCAGATCGTCCCCAAATTCCTCCCAAGTCAGGGTAGTTAAAACAGTTCCATGACCTTCATCAATTTGAGAACTGCAGAGCCCCCCACCCCCACCCCAACCAGCACCAATCAGAGCACTGTTTTTCAAACTGGATGTCTCCACCCATTAATGAGTAATGAAATCAATTGCTTTTATTTTTAATGAAATAGGATATATCAGAATGTATCACACATAGGAGAGTAGATACTGTTTCAAGAAAGGGTTCTTCCAATACACACTTCCTGTCCTAGGTCAAAATGTATCAAATATTTCTTACTAAGGGGTGGTCAAAAAAGTTTAAAAGCTACTGCCCTAAAGAAATGTGATTCTAATGATTCCTCTGCCCACTGTGACCTGAAACCTGGTCACTGTGGCCTCCTCCCTATCATGAACCTCCCTCATAGCCTCCCCAGTCACCATGACCACCACCCCATCACCCTTAGCAAAGATAATGAATATTCTTTCTATGTTTGTTTTCACCAACACTCCCCCTCCCACCCCCACCCTGTTACATATTTGGTTATTATGAACACCCCCCCCACACCAATCCCATAAAACTATGTATCTAATCACATGCTCTGGAGTCCTCCCCACTTCCATCTCTCACCCTGCGGGGTCTCTCCCCTGAGAAGGGCAGGGATAAAGCGAAGATGGTGTCCCGGGCACCAACATAAAGTGTATGGGAAGCAGGATCCACAAGGAGGACAGAGTAATTGTATGTCTGCGGGGCAGTGAACCGCGTGAGATAGGAGTCAGCCTCTGGCAGGAAGAGAGGGTGAGAGGAGAGAGTGATATCAGCCATTGCTTCATAAGGGTTGGGTCCACAAGGGCAAAGCCCAAGGGCTCAATTTCTGTTTTCTTCCAAGTACTATTTATTTAGCAGCCATGAGGGTGAAAAACAGAGCTTTGACAGGCCAACCATCTAACCTCCCCAAAGAGAGAGAACTGATGAGGCCAGAATATTTAGTACACAATGCAGTCAAGTATGCTTCTTCTATAAAAATAGAACATTTTATTAAAATAACAGCATAAATATTAAATCTGTAATTTTTATTCATAGCAATATGATACATAATTTGAAAATACCTATAGAAGGTACAAGTAGTTTCCTCTCTGAATTTCTTTTTTTTAATCACTACTTATTAGTAACTTCTTCTTACTTAGAAGGGGAACAATTCACTCTCTTCACCAACACTTTAGGAGACTATCCCCTGTCTCTCCCACCACTCTTGTCCTCCCCAACCCCACCCCATTTCCACCCAAAGAGTTGGCAAGAGTATGTGCTTTGGAAACAGATCAGCCCGAGTTTAAATGTGGCTCTTTCACTTACCAGCTCTATGATCTTGAGTAAGTTACTTGCCCTGAGCATCACTTTCCTCATCTGTAAACACCAACAACCAGGCTTGTTGACAGAATTAAATGAGATAACATATGTGGAAGCAACTGACATGTACTACATGTTTCAAAATGGCTCCTTTCGGGTGCCTGGGTGGCTCAGTTGGTTAAGCGACTGCCTTCGGCTTAGGTCATGATCCTGGAGTCCCGGGATCGAGTCCCGCATCGGGCTCCCTGCTCGGCAGGGAGTCTGCTTCTCCCTCTGACCCTCCTCCCTCTCAT